GCGCCCTCGCGCGTCCCCCGCGCCCGGGCGCAGCTGGCGCGGTCGGTCTAGTGCAGCGCTCGGCTCCGCGCCTCGGGCGCTCGGCTTCACCTTCAGAAGCGCGGGGTGTGCGCGTCTTCCTCCTCGGGCCCGCCGCCTCCCCGCCAAGGTAGGGGTCGGGGTGGGGGGCGCTGCGGGGCCCGCGGGGGGCGGGGGCGCGGAGACCCGGGCCTGGAAGTGTCAGAAACCCGGGCGTGCGCCGCGGGGGTGGGGGGCGCTGAGGAGGGGCTCCAGGGCGCGGGGAGGGCGGCTTGGCTTTCCCTGTTGGTAGTTGCTCCGCTCCGCAATTCCAGGAGAGGGAACATGCAACTTCGGGCGGCGAGGCTAGCGCCCGGGAGGTGGTTTTTACCGCAGTGGAGGGGCGGGGTGGGGGCCGGGGTGGGAGCGCGGAAGAGGCTCTGGCTTTGTACACTTCGTCAAAGGCGACGCGGGAGGAGGGGAGCTCGGATGTGCTCTCCATCCATTAGGAGACAAAGAGCAAATTGCCTTACTTTAAAGTAAAACGCTCCGGCTAATGAAGGTGGGTGATGGGGCTGCGGGGCCTGAGGAGCCGCTTCAATTATTAAGGGTTTGGCTGATGGGATCGATGCCTGTGGGCTCTGAGCGCTGCTGCCTCGGGGACGTGTTTGCGTGGGGGGGTTGCTTTTCCTCCCCCCTCCCCTGGCTGCATGCCTGTCAGCTGGGAGCGTGTAAGTGACCCTAACATTAAAGAAGTGAGAGCGCCTGAAGGGAAGTTAGGGCAGGGGTGGGGGCGGGGGGCGAGGGTTCTCGCAATGACTCCGAGAGGGGTGGGGAGAGGGGATCTGGGTGGCAGGGACTCCTTGGAGATGCGCCCAGCCTCGCTGGGGTGGGGGTGGGGGAGGTATTGATCCCGATATATACCCGGGTATATACAAGAAAAGAAGAATGCTGTGGGGTGTGTGTGTGTTTGGGGGGGGTGGGGGTGGAAAAGCGCCTTGTCTGCCATTTCCAGGGAGAACTAACATACTGAGTAGTTATGATCAGTATTTAGATTAAACCGCCTCGTCAAGTTTTAAAGAAACTTTGTATGAATAAGTTTGTTAAAAGCCAGCCAAGTTGGGTATTTAAAACAGCGGTTTATGGACGAAGATTGGTGTGCGGTGACAATCAGCCATGGTGGGCTGGGAAGCCAATGGACCCCTGCTATTAGGGACCAGAGAGACCTAGCCTTTTGCCCGAAAAATGTGGGTCTGTAAATTAGTCCCATTTATTATCAGCGTTAATAAGCTCCCCGCAGCAGACCGGGATCAGACCGGGAGCTTCTGGCTTGTGTATCTGTATATTTCTCATTCCGCTGGGCTTATTGATAAAGAATTACTTGGTCTCTGGGTGTGCAAAGATCAACTTGCTCAGCTCTCTTTTTAAATATATTCATTCTGTGCCTTATTTAATCCAGATGCACAAAAAGCCATTTGCAGCTGCATTGTTGGTTTACATTTTTTTTGAAAAGGCGACTGGTGTAACCTGTGGAATTTGAAATGCAAATAAAAGCCTGTGGGAGTTGAGGCAGAACAAATCAGCATTTATAAAGTGAAAAAGATTTAATGTCTTTGAAATCATTGCAGAGGAAAAAAACTGGAGAGGGGGAGTGATTTTTCAGGGAGTGAATTGTGACGTCAGGTCTTTTTGGAAAAGATGTTATTTTTAAGGTCTGAAACCCGCGTATGTAAAGTGCTTACAGGAAAAACAGATTACAAGATTAACATCTGTTAACATGATCGTTTATCTCCAGCCAAAATTAGGTCAGTTCTTTCTTAAGGAAACACGATTGCTGGCGCATGCTTAAATAATAAAATTAAAATAATGAGTTCATAAATTAGGACAGGCGTTTGTTAATAATCTGACCTGTGAAAAACATTTTTTAATTTCGAGATCAATGAAAGGTCAAAGTCCCTTTTGGCTATTGAGAACAACTCTTCACCCTGCGTCCAACTCTCCCGGATGGCCCCCTCCCTCCTTACTCCGAGCTCCTCTCCGCCCCCACCCCGGATTGCTAATTTCCCTTTTCAGCCATTGTGGAAGTACAAAATATGTCTAAGTGGATATTGTCTGACGCCCCCCTCGTTAAAGAAGGCAAACTCTCTCCGCGCAGATGGCTAACTTTCAGAGCTCTGCTGTTGTTTTACCATTAAATGAAACGGTAGGGAGGGGGGTGAAAAAAAGAAGGAAACAGCCTCACAGAGTTTCCCTGCCCCCTGGGCGTGAGTGACGGTTCTGCCGGCCAATCCGCAGCGGCTTTCTCCATCCCGGAGGTAATTTGGGGGGTGTGTTTGTGTGTGCGCGCGCGCGCGTGCATGCGCCCATGTGTCTGCACACTAAGTCCGACCAGCGCCGCGCATCCGCAGGCTTCTGATTTGCACAGCTGTGTGCTGTAGACGTGGACACGCTTTTATCCGAGTCTGCAGCTAGATGGGCACGCAGCACTCCCGATAGAGACCTTGCCTCCTCCGAGTGTCCTCATAAGAGGCGCTTTCAGATTCAAGTGGAAACGTGCAGAAGGGGAAGAAAAGGGGACTGATGTGATTGTGCTTCTCAACAATTGGGGAATCGAAATGTGCGGTTCCTTCCTTCTCGTTTCCACGCCGCGCGCCTGGGATCCGGGTGACGGAGCCCACTCGCCAGGCGCGAAACATACAGAGAACCAGGATTGTTGAGACCGGTGTTAACTCCGTAGAAAAGTGAAGGACAGTATGTACCTTCCAACTTCAAATTTTATTGTTTCACTGGAAGTTGATACTTAGCAAATTCTAGAATTTGACCTGCTCAGGGTCAGTGAAAGTTCTGCTGCCCACCCGACTTATGAATGCGGAGAGCTGGCCACGTCTTCCCTGCACAATGGGCACATTCACGCGCGGAGTGCGTCACGGGCCGCCTCACGTTTCGTAGTGGCTTAATCTGGCACCAGTTTCCCCAGGAATATTGGTAGTGTGTGTGTGGAAGTGTATGGACCAGACCTGGCCAGGTGGCATCTCTCTTTTACTGTTGGAGTTGCTATGCTGCTTCACTCCGGGATGGAGGGTGCTGCTGCAGTGGACGGGTTAGAGACCCACGTGTGCCCCTCTATGCAGGGAGACCCCCTGGGAGGGACCCCGCGACCCGGCCTCGTCCACGCATGGTGTGCCCGGCTGCCGGGCTGCACCGAGGTCACCCGGAGGGTCCATGGGCGACCCCAGGCGACCTTCGTCCTCCCCCTGCAAGAAGCTAACTAGGTTACGAGGTGGTGTCCCGCCCCGCACCTCCCACTCGGGCCATTTCCGCCCCCTGTCCCCGAGTTAGACCTGATTCTGCCCCATCTCAGTGAGCCGGCGGCTTGAGGAATGGGCAGCACTGGGAAGGTGTCGCTGGATTAAATCATTCCTATTTCTGTATCTCCTTGCGGTGCGGCGCTGGGCCGGGCGCCCCTGGGGGAGGCGGGGGGCGGGGTCGTGGCGAGGGCGGGGGGATTTACCTGCCCGCCCCGGGGGCGGGGGCGGGGCGGTGGCAGCTTGTTGCTGGGCTTCGGGGGGAGGGCCGTGGGCGGGCCGGGCAGGGTGGAGAGGGGGGAGGGCCCGGCCCGCGCCCCCGCCCCCGTCATGTGGAGCGGACGTCACACGCCTGCACTGTAACCCAAGAAGTGAAAGAGACGGGGACCCACGGCCCAACTTCGCACCGTAACAAAGGCGGGGGTCCGTGAGGGCCGGGGGGAGCAGCTGGGGAGGGAGGGAGGGAGCAAGAGGGAGGGGGCAGGGGGTGGGGCAGCCGGGTCCGGGGAGTAGGGGGAGCGGGGGCCTGGGCTGGGCCGGGGTCTGCGCGAGGCTAGGGGTGGTAGGGGCCTGGCACGGGCGGGGGTCTGC